GAGGCAGAGGCAAATAATATCCACCCTGGTGCTTCTTGGGAACAGTGGTGGTGGACATAGGGAAGAAGGAATTGTTTATCTTGAGTGGAACAGTCTCACCTGCTTTTCTTTTAGCAGAATACCAGCTGGGGAGTTTACAAGCTGGAAACCAACTTTCATAGTGGATTTGGGAGAAGATATAGGGCTTGTTTTGACTTTTTGAAACCTGCTCATGGTCAGAGTTCCTCTGGCATCTTATATCTTCTTTCTTGAGGTTCAACTACATGCCAGGGGTGGGAGGGCTTCTGATCTCCTGTTGCTGTCCTCCTGGAATGAGGCCCACAATGATGTCAAGTAGTAGTCATCTACTCTTAGGTAGTTAAAGTGAGCACAGTATTTAGCTTTAGTTTGCACAATGCATTACTGTGCAGATAGTAAGTTTTGTTTATCTTTTCAGTCAGGAGTGAGATCTTGCTGTTATCCCAAGTAATGTATGAGGAAACTGAGCCTCAAAGAGGCTGTGTGGCTGAGTCAGTAACTGGCAGAGCCTGGCCCCTGGCCCTAGTGATCCTCAAAAATGGGGGATACTTCTTGTGTTCCCCCTTCTCTTCACACACTGCCTCAGTAGAAAGCCTTGCAGCAGTGAGCTGGAGGGGTGGCCTGGCTTCCCTGTTCTCAGTCACCTGCACGCTTCTTAAGCCAGAGCCCACACGACCACCCCCGCTCCCCCCATTAGGTCCGTGCTGGTCTCTCCAACATCTAGCCCCAAGCCAGATGTTTGGAACAGGGAGAGCAGCTGGTTATGGGGCTACATGGCACCCTTTAGAATCCTGCCCTCCCTCATTGAGGAAACTGTGCAATGAATCCCTCACAGGCCTATAAATCTTCTTGTGTCCAGTGTTGTTCTCCTGGGGAGGACAGCACCCCTCCCCATCACACATAGAGAGGTGGGGGGTGGCCTGCACCTGGCTGTCAGGGACACAATGGTGAGTGCTGGCTGAAAGGAGTCTTTCGAAAGCCTCTTTGACACAAGTTTCAGATCCCACTCTGCTGTGTGTTCCCCTCACCCTTAAACCCACTGAACAAAGCAAGTCTTGCACCAAAGCTCCTAGCTTCAGCTCCTTCCCCTCCCCCATGGTCCTCTTGATCTCCCAGAGGTAACTCCCAGGCAGGGCAGGTGCAGCTCTGGAGTGTGGATGAGGCGAACCCTGGAGTGGAATCCCAGAGCCTTGTATCATTTTACCCCTTGCTCTTTTCATGGCCTGATCAAGACAACAACACAGAAGGATTGAACTTTTACCGGCCCAGCTAGAGAGGAGTAGAGCAAACTTTCTAAGAGACCTTGAGAGTTCCCTACAACCTCCCAGTTGTTGCAGGAGTAAAACGCACAGAATGCTCCTCAGCTGTTGGTGGCCCCATGGGGTAGTAGCTAAGAGCTCGGGTCTGGGTCTAAGGAGACCTGTGTTAAAATCCTGGCTCTGTTCTCCTCCTACCTATGTAACCTAGAGCAGGTTAGTTAACTTCTCTGCTCAGTTTCCATTCTGGAAAATATGAGATTCGTGCTAACAGATGGGTTTGTAGTGAGGATTAAATGAGGTAAATCACTTGCCTCAGATGCTCAGCTTCTTCAGAGACCACCTTCCTCTTCTCACATACCTGGAGCCTTTTCTGCGTCAGACTCTTCTGGACTGTTGAAAACGAGTGAGTGAAGGCTTCCATAGGTCCTGGCTCTGTAGAAGTAACAGGCCCTGGAGGCCCCTGGAGGCATTCACTCAGCCAGTCAAAGTTAACTGAGCACCTACTACCCAGAGAGCTGGCGGCTGATTAATATACCCGGCAGAGGCCATTGCAAGCCCTGTCAGGAGGCAGCCATGTTGGAGGGAGGCTAAAGAGGCCCTGATAGATTCTTAGTGGCAGTGTTTATAAACTTAAGGAGGATAGACTGCCCAAAGAAGGACTGAGGGATGTCTGGGGTATTGACCTCGCTATTAGAGGTCCCGGGTACCTTCCCCAGGACCTCTCTCTGCTCTGAGAGCCTGCCCCCAAGTTCAAGGCATTTGTGGTTTCTGAGGCCTGGGGGCTGCCTGGTCACATTGTGCTTTTGAGAAGACTCTTATCTCCTGCAGAGTCCAAACCAAGCCAAAGAGCCCCCAGCCCCACCCCACCAAGCTCCCGAAGACCAAGGCGCTTCTGCCTATTGGGCCTCCCACAGTGGTCACCAGCGAGGCCCTCTCAGTGGCCCCAGCCAGCTGCCCCTTTCACCCCCTTGCCTCTCAGGATTACTCAGCCTTCACAGCATCTGTCACTAAGATGCCGAGTGCGTTCTTGACGGCCTCTCTTTAGGAAAGGCTTGGTGCCTGGGTTCAGCTGCTGATTGTGGTTCTGCATGAAGAAACCATAAACCAAAGGAAAAGCGATAGTTCAGCTTTGGTCTTGGAGCTTTGTGTCAGCGTCTGCTTGAGTCCCTAGGCTTGGAATTGAATGTGGGCCATCCAAGCAGTTGGTGAAGCTGTCCTTCCCCTCCAGTTTCTACATAGATTATTAAGAGTAGGAAAAATCTGGACAGCAACGCAAGAGGGCAGCCACCACGGGCTCAGTAGTAAAAGTCCCTCGAAATTTCTGACTGTTGGAAGAACTCGAAGAAGGCCAGAAAGGAGTAGGAGATGATGGCACAGTTAGCTGGGTTCTAGAAGATGACGAAAACGTGACACTTACAAGATGGACAGGGATGACAATTGGGCCTCCAAGAACAACTTATGAAAACTGAATTTACAGCCTGAAAATAGAATGTGGACCTCAATACCCAGAAGCACACTCCTTTGTAAGATTTGTAACAAAAATTAATATGAACGGAGTTAATAGTTCTAATGGAATGGTGGACCCAAGAGCGATATCAGTGCTAGCAAAATGGCAGAATTCACATAGCATCAAAGTTGTCCTGCAAGAGTTTCGGCCCCTGATGATGTCTAAAGAAAATATGAAACTCCCTCAGCCGCCTGAAGAACAGTGTTACAGCAATTAATCAAAAAGAAAAACCACAGGCCCCCCTCCCCCGCATTTGATTTAAGCAGTCTTCATTTTCCACAGTAGTAAATTTTCTAGATATATCTTGTTAAGTACTAGACCTCAAAGTACTAGAAAGGAAGCTCCCATTCAAAGGCAGTTTATCTTAAGATACTGTAAATGATCCTAATTTTTTGTCCATTTGAAATATAGAAGTTGTGCTATAAAAAAAAAAAAAGGAAAAATCCAAGAAACCTCTTACCCTGCTGTCATTAAGTGCTGAGCTGTGCTCTAAAGTTTGTCTCCTTGGTACAGGGGCCTTGGGGGAGGTCTGCAGTGCACCTTTCTTCACGACAAAATCCCCACCCCTGAGAATCTTGGTTCTTCCGCCAGGGCCAAGCACTCGAGAGTGATATCCAGGTTTTTAGGCTAATTGCTGAGGAGGCCTGATTATTTTCTAAAAGGTTTCTAATGGTCATACCAGTTTCAAGGGATCTGGCCTAACCCAGGATTTTTGAGAGCTCTGGACTCACCCACTGACCAACCCTCAGGAATGCTCAGCCTGCACCTGCAGGAAGCCCGCTAGCTTTCTGTTGAGTCCGAGCTGAGTCGGTGGTCCTGGGTTGGTGCTGCCTGCCAATTAACTGACTGTTCTTCAGCAGCCATTTCCTCACCTTTAGTTCAGGGGAAGAGAGTTTTCTCTCCTCCTCTCCAGGGGCACAAGCAGCCCAACCAGTAACTCCATCGCCACTTCTGTAAGGGCCACCTCAGTGGTGCAGTGTGTGCTTTGAGGACCCAGGGTGGGATGGGGCCTCCTAGGTGGCCCCTACCTCATTGTCTTCCCTTTCGCTTCTCACAGGGAGCAACATGGAGAAAGTTGTCCTCAGTGCCACATTCTGTTTGTGTTTTTTCTCCACAAAAACAAGCATTACCAGCATTTTTTTTCCTGCACAGTAGTTTACTTTGTGCTTTAAATTGGAATGGGTTAGGTTTAATCCTTAGGCCCATCTCCTGCCCAGGCCTGGAGAGACCTGTGGCAGAGGACCATTCTGATAGTAGTCGCATGGCGCCACCTCCTGGCGCCACACAACCCTTCCTGTGTTCCCACTCGCACAACAGTTACCAGAACAGTTCATTTAAAAAGCAAAAGGAATTTGAGAAGGATACTGTATTCTTACATCCATTTCTGGTTGATCCTGTAATGCCCATATATTTTTGTATGAGTTTGGCCTTTCTGGGGCTGCCTTGCCTAGCTTCCTATTAAAATGGCTTTGTATTTCCAAAGCCCAAATTGTCAAGTCAAGACTAAGCAGATACAGTTTTGGAAGCAGGGGCATCAGCCTAGAGCCCCGTGCTGGATGTGTGTGTCCCAAGGGGTTAATCGGCCTGTGGTTTAAGATTAGGGGAGGGGGGGTATTAAAGAAAGTGGCTGGAGTTGTAGGGAGGTGACAAGGGTGTAAACGAAGACTATAACTGCCTCCTTGGGGCCGTATCTTCTGTTCTCTACTCTGCTGTATCTACTCTGGGCTCAGTTCTGCTGCCACTGAGCACCTAGAGAAGCTGACCCTGAGCAGAACTGCAGCTCCACTAACTTAAAGGGAAGGATTTAGGTTACTCCTTTGTCTGGAATGGGTAGTCTTCTGGGAATAGGTGTCAGTCAGGGAGGATTTGTGTCTTCGTGAATTAATCTTGAAGGTTCCCTCAGTGTGCTGCTGCCAGAGCAGGACAATACCTGGATTCTATACCTGGCCCCATTTTTGAGTACCCCCACCCCCATAAAATGGAGATTCTCTGCAGCTCATTTCCCAAACCAAAGAGTGGGAATTCTTGCTCTTTCTGTCTAAAGAGAAGATGTTGGAGTGTACATTTTATTGTTGACTGTATTTGGTCACTTGCCAAGCACATGCTGTGTTCCTGGTGGAGATTACAGACTAAAGGGGTTGCGGCACCAGGTTTGGGGGGCTGCCTGTGGACAGAGATGCCCTGTAGTTAATGCCTCATCATTTCTTGTGCTCTAGGCCTGGTCTCCAAGTCCTCTCCTAAGAAGCCTCGTGGACGTAACATCTTCAAGGCCCTTTTCTGCTGTTTTCATGCCCAGCATGTTGGCCAGTCAGGCTCCTCCGCTGAGCTCTCCACGTACAAGGAGGAAGCCAACACCATTGCTAAGGTAGCTGGATCAGGGCGACGTGATGCCATCCAGAAGGGGCTGCTGGTAGGGTCCCTGCATCCTTGGCAAGTGGGCACGCCACCTTGCCTGAAGTCACGAGACCTTGGGCCCAAAGGGAGCCCTTTTTCCAATGGACCCATAGTTGGTTTATCTTCTCTCTTCTTCTTGCTTCCCATTTGTGGTGTGGTCCATCCAGATGTCCCTCTGGTTTGGGAAGGCCTCTGCAGTTCAGATCCTTCCAGATTCCAGGAGCTGTTCAAGGTGCTTTACACATAATATGTGATCTGTATAGCAGCCTTGCAAGGAGAGTCACAGGATCCTCTCCCTCAGAGAGTTTACATAGCCTCTAAAGAGTTAGTGTCAGGGTTCCAACTCATCATTTTGGTTGTAAATCCTATATTTATTGTTTGTTATTCACTATGCGAAGCTACTTTCTCAGTTACTTGACTTTCAGGGAACCAATGAATTGAAACTCTTCCACACACTTAATAACTCCTTCCAGCATGCTCACCTGTACCTGTGAGAAACATCGGAAATGTGTGAGTGTCTTTGATCCTCACAGTAACCAGTAGACGTGTCTGGCATTTCAGGGGCAGGGACATCTCTGACCAAAAATCCTTCTGCCCCCAGTGCTATTGGTACTTCTTTCCAAAACACCAAGGTCTAGCTGTCCTCCTTTCTCAAAACCAGGCTAACGACGTGTACATCAATGAAAAAACCACTTCATTATTCAACAGGGGAAATGGTTCAATAAAGTATTACTAGACAGTTGACTTTTACAAAGAGTTCACAGTAACATGGAAAAGTTTTGAATTGCAACATTAAGCCAGAAAGCAGAATGCAAAACTATATGTTATGAAGAAAAAAGACTGTTAAAACAATCACGAAAGAAATACACTAAAATGCCAATTTACGTTTTTCTAAATGCTAGGATTTTAATTTTTCTTTGGAGTTTCCATTAAGAATACCTACTACTTTTTACAACCATAACAACATTTTTATTATTAGCAAAAGGCAGGGAACCCATTCTGATCTCTCTGCACTCTCTGTGGGTTTTGGGACCCGTAGGGTGGGCTCATGTTGGCTTCTGTTTTCAAGGGGCTCAATGCCCGCCCGCCCCCACCACCATGTATCCCCGCAAGGAGAGCACAGAAAATACATGTTCTCAGAGAGAAGCCTGGGTTCTAGAACTAATCAAGAGGCTTAAACCACTACAGTGAGTAGTTCTGATTTTGGTTCTTTGTCTCAGCATTACCTGCTTGAGTTCTCTGTTCTTTGGTTTGTCCAACTGAGAGGCAGTGGCCACTGAGAACAGGGACATTGTCTTCTCTACCCTTCACCAGGCCTGATGTGGAAAGGAACTTTTGGCCTTTCCTGCCCAGCTCTTACAAAAGAGGACCTTCCAGGGCACTAGGGTCTTGGGGAGACAATTATCCTCCAGGCCTGAGGCAGAAGCGGTGGGCTTTGGATGGGTCAGGGAAGGTGTTGGTGGGTCAGCGCTGACAGCCTCCTTTTCTCCCGCAGTCTGATCTGCTCCAGTGTCTCCAGTACCAGTTTTATCAGGTATGTGAATCTGACCTCATATGTGCTCAGAAGCCCAAGACCCCATGATCCCTGCTAACCAACCCATGGGGTGATGTCCTTATTCTTCAGTGTCTGGCTGGCTACCTCCCTGTCCTGAGAAGCCATTTGTCCCAGATATTTGCTGAAGGCCTACTATGTACAGGGTTTTTAGTTTTGGGATGGGGGCGAGTGGCCCTGGCTTCCATCTCCAATGTCCAAATCATTTTATAGTCCCAGTGGGAGGCCAAGGAGCCAACTCTGTCTCTTCTTTTTTCTACCTCTTGGCCTTCAAGCGGCGCCTCTCCTGGGTTGAAGTTAGGGGGTTTTTCGTCTCCTCGATGAACCCAGCTCTACCAGGAGTTCTGCTGAGGGGAACAATTGGGCTTTCTTGGTGGCAGATCTCAGCAGCCTGGCTCTGGTTTTAGATCCCGGGGACTTGCCTGCTCCCAGAGGTGACAGAACAAGATCAAGGAAGGATCTGTGTGGTCATTGACCTGGATGAAACCCTTGTGCATAGCTCTTTTAAGGTAACTCGAGCCCTTCCTATACCTGTCTTGGGCTTTCTCATGAACCTGGTGGCCTAAAGTTGATGCTGGAAGAGTGATCAGAATGAGGTGGTCAGGCCTCTAGCATTTTGGCCACACTAGCATCACAGATATCTTGAAACCGCACCAAAGAATGTTGTATACGAACCCCTCTTCCCCTCAAGCACTACCAGCTGCGCGCTAGTCACATAGCACAGAGAGCCACCAGGGCTGTGTACAGGGCAGGCCTAAACGGAAAGGGGTGAATTGGCCTTGGACCTTGCCCCTTTTCGTTTTATCAAGATGTTTGTTAACTCAAGAAGGCCCTGAAACACTCTCAGCTCAGGTAGAATTTGGGGTGGTGGTAAGTAGAGAAAACCAAAGAGGCTATTACACCTTGTACTGAGGTAAGAACTACTTAGTGGGCTGGCAGGAGGCGTCCTTCCCTCCCCCTGACAGGTGACAGTGCATTGGGCTATGGCAGGGACAGGGGTGTAGCAGTCTTCCTGTCTCCTTCCACCACTCTGACCTCATTAACTTTTCTTCTTTCCAGCCAATCAACAACGCTGACTTTATAGTGCCTGTAGAAATCGAGGGGACCACTCATCAGGTAAGCTGCCTGCCAGTTCACTCCCAGCCTAGAGGGCTCAGGGTCCTCTGCTCTTCTCTTATGTTCCATCAGTTGATCCCTTTCCTGTAACTTCAGCCTCTCCTTTTTTATTGGGACCTTTCTCACTCAAGGCTTTCTCATCTTAAAATAAATATTCAGCCCCTCATCCCCCACTAGCTGTCATCTTTTTCACCTTTTTTCTCTTTGCTGCCAAGCTGTTGGAAATTGTTATTATTTAACAATAGTAATAGCTGTCATTTATTGCTCACCCAGTGTGACCAACACTATTATACGATTAATTACATTTTCTCGAATCCCAAGTAGTTGGTTCTCTGCCTGTTCCAGGCAGGGAAACCAGTACTAGCTGTTTTCTTTCCTCTCCATGCCTACCAACTCTGTCTTGCTATGGAATTCTTTCCTCCCCAGCTCAGGCATCTCCTTTGTGACACTTTCTCCAATTCCTTTTCCCTTGGGTTCCTATACTGGATTCTGCCCCAGTAAGTGCTCAGTACATATCTGTCAAAGTAAAGAGCACTTGAATCTAAATAAGATCAAGCCCCACATAACTTTCTGAGTCCAGGGTTAAGGATCACGTGGTGTTGGTAGTGGAAAACAGTTTACTGAAAACGCTTGCTGAGAAGGCCTACCATCTGGCCTTGGAGTCAGGGACCATTAGGGACCTTGTAGCCCTTAT